GCTCCACGGTTTAGAGGGAGCACTGCTTGAAATGTCTTCATTCTTTCTCTTTTCTTTCTTGTTGCAAAACTAATTGCCAGTTCTCTAAAGAAAGCTTTGCTTGTGTCCCAAATTATCTTCATGGATGTTTCTCCATTCATATTTTGTTGGAAAAAAGTCTTCATTTCTTAGCCATCTCTAAAAATTGTCCATTTTTAAGTAATTGTATATTCAGCCTCCATCTATTTTTGGGGGGGATTATCTTTAGTCTTCAATAATAGTGGGTTGTGGTCTGCAAAGATTTATGGCATAATATCCATATCTTCAATTTCCTGGAAAATATTTGATGTAATCCAACACATATCAATTCTGGACCAAGATTTATGTCTGTCAGAATAAAAAGTATAGTGCAGAATGACCTGCAAGACTGACTACAATCGGGCCTAAACCAGGTGCAGACGGCCTTAATACAAGTTACAGATCAAATGAAAAACTTAAACACAGATTGGAGATGTAAAAGTTAAAATGGCTGATTTTAACAAACAACCAATAGAAAATAAGAAGGAAATAACGTAAGTGGCACAACAAGTCAAGAAGGCTGAAGAGAAAGCTGAAGCAGCATCATTGAGGATGGACAGGTTGGATACACAGCAGAAGATAGCCCTGGGCTCTATGATTCAGTTGGAAATGGATAGAGTGGCTTATGTACTGAGATTTCAGAATGTACCTGAACAAAAAGGAGAAGAGCTAATCAGAGTTATGGCAGAAGGATTGGCAGACTTCATGGAAGTAGAATATTAAGAAATGGAGAGGGAGATTGACTTTTTATATAGAGCTAACTCTGCCTATGCAAGGAAGAATAATCTTCCAAGGGAAGTGCATGTGAAATTTACTAAGAAGATGGTCAGAGATCGTGTGTGGAAAGAAGCACAGAATAATACTCTTAAAATACAAGACAAGGAAATAAAGATTGTAAGAGAAATTCCCTGGAAAATAAGACAAAGAAGAAAAGAATATATATTTCTGACCTCCAAACTGACAGCAAATTCAATTACATTTGATGGCTTTTTCCAGAAGGAATTTTTTTCATATTTGAAGATCAAAGATTTAGACTGGACTCCATCTTCAAGGCAAAAGATTTTTTTGATTGTTACGGAAAACTTTTACAACAGGAAGAAACAAAGAAAGCAAAAACAAAAGTTACTATAACCGAAAAAGGAAGCATCAGCTTACTCAACAGCCTTGGATGAAGAACTTGAGGCCAGCACAGCCAAAAAACCATCCATGGAAGGTAGACCACAAAGAATGGCAATGAGAAATAGAAATGGTAGTAACAAAAATAGATCATAATGGACTCATCAACAACCAAGATATTATCGGTAAATATAAATGGACTAAATTCACCTGAGAAAAGACGAAAGATATTTAAACAGCTTAAGATAGACGTAGATATTGTATGTTTGCAAGAAACACACAGACAAAAAGACAAACATTATTTGATAAATAAGAAGCTTGGTAAGTTATTCACCGCTTCAGACAATGTAAAGAAAAGAAGAATAGCTGTATATATCAAAGAAAAATTAAAACCTATTTCGATATTCTCATCAGAAAACGGAAGACTTCTGCTACTTGAAATAGATATTAGAGACAAGAAAATCTTATTGGTGGTGATATATGCACTGAATGAATCACAGGGCAATTTTTTTAAAATAATGAAGGAAACTGTAACAAAATATGACTACATGGATATTTGTATATTTGGAGATTTTAACTCTGTTTCTGATCAATACCTAGACAGGTGAACCATCAAGATTAAACCTTCCAAGATCTTTCTTAGAATTGGCTGAGGAATACAAACTGATTGATGTCTGGAGAACTAGAAACCCAACTGGGAAAGGAATGGTCGTTTCTCAATTCCTTGTGAAATCCTAAAACAATTAGAATGGTGGACTGTGCCCTCAGATTTGCTAATAGGGGTACCATTCATGGTTATATCTCCTCAGCTTACTATTACCACTGATGTGCCCCTTTCAGGTTGAAGTGCACACTGTGAAAGGAAGTTTGTTAGTGGTCTTTGGTCTGTTGCTGAACGGATCCTTCATATCATTCTGCTAGAGCTCAGAGCAATTCGTTATTCCCTTAACTTTTTTGCAGTACTACTTCACAAGAAGACAGTCCTGATTAAAACAACAATATGATGGCATTGTTCTACATCAACAAATGGGGGCACCACTTTGCTCCCTCTGTGTCAGGAGTCTATTTGCATCTGGGACTGGGCTATAAAAAAATCAAATTGCCATCCATATTGCAGGGATACAAAATACTATGGCAGACCAGCTGAGCAGACTGGAGCAACGCAATCACGAATGCTCCATTTGAAATGCCCACATTTACCCCATCTTTACACAATGGGGGTTCCCTGAGATAGACCTCTTTGCAACAAGAACCAACACAAATGCCTCTTGATTCTGTTCTCTGGCAGGCACAGCACTGTTGTCAATCGGAGATGCGTTTCAATTCAAATGGAGTCCAGGCCTGTTCTATGCTTTTCTTCCATTGCCCCGATAGAAAGAGTACTTGTGAAGCTGATAGCCAAGAACTCGCATTGCATACTATTCACCTCATTTTGGCCTAGACAAAGCTGGTTTCAGGTACTCCTCTAAAGGTCAAAGAACATGTTCATTCACTTCCCTCAGACAGAAGACCTTCTAGAGATAGAGCATGGCAGTTCCTGAGGTTCAGGGAGCCTTCATTTGACAGTGTGGTTGTTGACACTACATGTTTGAATTTTGTTGAGGCACTGCATAATATTCGAACTCATTCCAGGAAGCCTTCTACTGGAGTGGGGCAGGTCAGCACACTCAGATCACCCATTTGTGAAGCTTCGTGACTCTAGGGTAGTACTTAGACCTAGTCTACATTTCCTGCCAAAGGGGATTTCCAAATTTCACCTTAACCAGGACATCTCCTTACTGGTGCTTTTTCCAAACCCATCTTCTGAGACAGAAAGGAAGCTCCACACCTTGGATGTCAAATGTGCTTTACGAACAAGACAAAGGAATTCCAGAGGTCTCCCCAATTGTTTGGTTGTTTTACTGGACCCTTGAAAGGATGACCTGCATCCTCCCAGACTGTCTCTAAATGGCTTACGGGCAAGCAGGTGTACCACGTCTGTTGCACATACATGTTCATTCCACAAGATCTCAAATGGCTTTGGCTGCATTTCAAAGAGGTGTACCCAAGTGAGGTGTACAAAGCTGCTACATGGTCATCTGAGGACACCTTTGTCAGACATTATTCTGTAGGTGTTAATGCAAGATGGGAGACGTCAGCGGGGACAGCAGTTTTACTCTTTTTCAATTGTATGCTCACTCCCATCACTGTACACATAGTTTTGTAGACTTCCATGTGGGACTGCACAGTACAATGATGAAACCATGGTTACACTTACCTGCAACTGTTCCAAATTGTTACTGTGCAGGCACACATCCCTCCCTCCTGCCCCTCTGTGACTATTGTTGTATAAGTACAGTTACCATATTTGTGGCTCATAGCAGCAGTTTAGGAGAACTGAGGGAGTGTGTGAAGCCCCTCCTCAGAGCACATGACCATTTAGGCAGGACACAGCTCTGCTGGCTCTGATTGGGAGGGGATCCTCCTGCTCTGTTGCTATGCTAGCTACAAAAAAATCTTCCCGTGGCTGGCCTGTATAGTACCCATTTGTGCCTGCACAGTAACAACTGGATGAACAACAGTTACAGGTAAGTGTAGCCATGTTTTACCCACGTCCTGGCCTGGATTCCTTCCTCCACTGACACAGAACAGAATGTTGGAACTTGCATGGTTACTTTTGTTAATGAATGGAGCCCTGCTTTGCTCAGAATTTTTCTGCTAAGACTGCTGCCTACAGATCATAATAAGTTAAGCACATGACATAAGGACTTGTGTTTTCTCTTATTAAATTTTCTTCTCCTGTGGACCTTGTTTTTTTACATAAGGATTCTATCACATGTCTCCATTTCAAGCAGTGTCAACTGCCATGTTAACTGGCCACTATCTGCAAAAATCAGTGTCTCAGCGAGTATACATTTGTGGAGCTCTGGAGAACCACTACATCCCGTTTTACCATCTTTACTCAGCTCCCAGGTCCAAGCTCCTTGCAGCCATTTTAGTCAGGCGAGCTTTGTACCTGGTGGTAGATAAAATAATCTTTCTTTCTGATGAAAACCTGCATGTTACCTATATGTCATTGAATGCACTGGTTGTTAAGAAAATCTACAGAAATTTTTTTGCTTGACATTTAATGCACTGCAATTTGTTATATTTTAACCCTGGAAGTTTTAACATCACTCTCAATTTTCTTGTTCTACTGTTTTTATTTATCACCCTTTGGGCAGTCATTTTTGTTATAGTGCAGTGGCCTTTGACCATATACATTTTCCTGCTTACCTACCTAAATATGTTTCCAAACTGGGAAGATTCATCCCTGCCACTGGCTAGGAAGTAAGACATAGCTGATTTGCATAGTCCAGTTTATGGAGCAAGCGGGAGGAACCCAGGCTGGCTTACTCCTCTTATCCACTGACAAGCAGCATTCATAGTAAATTCCAGTGTTTCAGTTCCCTATTCTTTACAGCAGGTCTCAACAGCATAGTTCCCCTTCCCTTGTCCCACCTGAAACAGCCCAAATGGCATCAGCTTAATTTATTCCACTTTGGGGCAGATTACAAATCAGGCTTGTTCCATTCTTAATTAAGTAGGGCCATGCCTGTTTGCTTTTCAATTGGTACCATTTGAAGGTGGATACTGCCTGGATGAGAGCACTGGCTTTCCTGATGGTGAAAGCCTTGCTGTCCTGAGCTGTGGGGAAGGTAAGGAGTATCAGACTGACAACTGCACAGAAGCATTCTGTCATCATGGTACCAAGCTGTCTGCCGTGGGCCTGGTTGCTTTGCAGATTAGGCAGGGAAGCATTATCACTGTACTTCCAAGACATTTCCTTTTGCTTTGTTGCTATTCAGCAAATGTCTGCACAGCTTGGTCTGCCTTTCACTTCCGTCGGGCATAACAGAAGCAGATACATACGTGCTGGAGGAGGCATGGGGCTACTTTGAAGATGCTCTGAGGATTCTGGGCAATACAGTAAGTTGGGACAGAAAGTCTGAATGTGGAATGTTATTGAAGTCCTCTTACCTTGAACAGCATGCTTCTATCCCAGGCAGCTGGGATTCCCTAGCTATTGGGTTTTCCTACAGCCTTGAACATGACCACCAACAGCCTACTACATTTAAGCCTTCACAATATACTTTTTCAGTGCTGTATGTTCCTATAGGTGTAGGGTGATGATGCTTATTGTCTGTTGGAGATGGCAGCATGAGTTGTACAATGTCTGAGTGCAGCCCATTTCAGGATGGTTACTTTGGGCAAGCAGAATTCCCTCCCTCAGTCCTGGCCTATTAGCATGTCTACCACTTCAGAAGGTTAAGCTCTTTTCAGAGTTCCCTAGAGGCCTAGAACATCCCATTTGGCAATTGCAGGCTGCCTTTGTAAACAGATCACAAGATTACAGTTAGAAATTTTCTTCTCTATGGTTCCAGTAGTAATTGAGCAATCTTTCAGGCAGGTTTTGTCTGAAGGACCTGACCACTGTTGTATCTCCTGATTATTGGCAGGTGTTACAGGCCTCCTACCCACAGGTAGAGATCATCTGGCTCATGACTAGAGCTTGGAACACAGGAATATACCAGTACAGCACTGGCAGATACAAAGAAGCAGAGCAGTGGTGTGGCCTAGGAATGCGCTTCCTGGGGCATCTGGGAACCCTGAAGAGCAGCTATGAGAGCCAGGTGCAGCACAATTAATGTAAAAATGTTTTAAGGATGTTTCAGCACACTGAACTGAGCGGCCTGTAATCCAGGGGCAAACACAGTGCAACATGCACTGAGGCATTGGCAGCAGTTAAGTCTCTGAAAGCAAGCATATGTCTGAACAAATTGGTTTGCTTGCATTCGACAGGTAATCAGTGAAGAAGAAAGGGGACCACACCAAGGCAAAATGAAGGTGAAGAGACAAATAGTGCAGAGATAATTTTACAACCTCTACGCGTTTCGTGTGCTGCTTCGTCAGGGGGGCTCTACCAAAATAATACAAAATATATTTAATACATCATTTCAAATGAAATGATGTACTAACTTTTTATATTTTGTATTATTGTACAATTAAAGATTGTTCTGCACTATTTGTCTCTACACCTTCATTTTGCTTTAGACAGGGACACACTTTTGTGTGTATGGAGTACCCATCCATGTCAGTCAAGTGGTCTATAAGGGAGGGGAGATTTAAAAGCAGGACTAGAATATAGGAAGGTCTTGGGAAAGGGATTCTAGGCTATCACACAATCAGGAGCTGATTACCTGCAGAAATTCTACAAGGCCTGTTAGCTGTGACTATTTAGAACATGTGCATGACTGGGGCTGGGGCCACTGGGTTTGCCTGAATTCTGAAACACATAATTGTTGTTGTTGTTCAGTCGCAGAGTCGAGTCCGACTCTTCACATGATTACTACATGTAAATTTGCCCTTTCTGCTTAGAAATGGTGTTCCGCATTGCTGGGATTTAGTATGAGACAAAATTCAAAGGAACGGGGTTAGTTGCATTATTTTTTGCCTAGTTATTCCAGATAGCAGCAGGAGATAAAACATGGTATGGGGCAGCTTCTTTTCAGGGCTCCAGAAAGCACGACACTGATTTTTCAAATGACTCTCAGTAACTTCTGCTTACAGATGACTGGCCTTTACAGTGAGGTACTGGACAAGCTAGACAACACAAAGAGATTCCTTCCAAAGGAGGAGTAAAACCAGCAGCTTCTCCATCTTACTAAGTCACGAGTTCTACAGGCATCAGCACAGGAGAAGAGGGGGAAAAGGCAGTACACAAGCACTACCCCCACGTTGGACACTGCAGGCAGCATGGAATGCAAAGCTGGTGTTGCTCCTGAGAAAGGAGGTATTGTACCATGGAAGAAAATACAAACCCACACTTTGACTGAGAGCAGACTTGTTTTGCAGAATGCTGCTTTGGAGAAATTGTAATGTGAGCACTAAAACAATCCAGGCCAGCGTTGCAGCCTCTGGGCACCACACTTTTCTCGCCATATAAATATTTATTGGCTTGTTTAACTTTGTCCACTTCTGTACAACAAGAATGCAATTTCTCAAACATGCATATTCAGAGTTAACTGCTCAAAGAGCCAGTGACTCCGGAGAAGAGTAATAAGTATTCAAGGTGTTTTCACTCACATCACATGTTGCCTTGGTAACTACAGGGTCATCTTGCTAATGCAGCAGCTATCAGTGTGCTCTTTAAATGGGTGCCATCTGCCCTAAAAGAATCTTGTCATAAGTGCTTCTGCCTTCAGCAGTTGGCTTTGGGTGCACACCCTCTCTAGATCATAAGATTCTAACATTTGTTGCAAGCACTTAATCAGCTGGTAAACTACCTGTAGTGAGTTTTACCATTCCTGGACAGGCTATTACTCGCAACCAGTTTATGCAATTATGCAAAGACCATGTGGTAAATAGCTGCATTTGACACAACTGCAGCCACCTAATTCAGCAAAACCAAGCATTACCACAATATTTAATATGTCAGTCCAACAGTACAATTGTGCTATCCAGAAACACAGATGTTTCAGAGGCTGCCTACCATGAATGCGTACTCCAAATAGGCTTTAGAGTGAGAATAAACAGCATCTCCTAAAAGAAGGAAATGATTACAAAAGTTTCCTGCTCTTAAACTCAGATGTCCTGTATTCTTGAGCCTAATTTTTAATTATCACTGCCCCCCTCCCCCGTTAGACGTATACTAGCCACCTGTTTCTCCTTGTAACCCAGCCACAGCTTCACCTAACAAGAAACCTCTGCAGTCAAGAATTCATTGCAACATTCTGTTTATTAAAAATATATGTCTCCTTGGAAGAAACACTGGTAAACCAACTAGTGTCATGGTTGATACTTTCAGCTATGCCATGGAGTACATAGGCTTTCCCTCCATGTGCCTAGAAGACAAGGTGACAGGCTATTAGAAAAGAAAGGGGTTGAAACCTGGAGACTGGCCACCTCAGAAGCTGCTTCTATTGCGCACAGGCCAACGGCAGAACCAGCTGAGCAGAGGGAATAGGTGGCAGCCCCTCATCCAAATTCCCTCCACCAGAGGCACATACATGACAGCAGCTTCCTTGTCTTTATCCTTTGTAGTCCTGTTGGCAGGCAGCAACTCCAGTCCTACCAATATTCCACTTGAAGCTTTTTGGAACACCAACTGATGTGGAAACAGCTTCTCGCTTACCAGAATGAATCTCCGCAAGATGACAGTTTTCACTCATTATTTAACAATGAGGGCCCGTGCACAAATCACACTGAATGAATGACGCAGCTACCTACCAGCTACGGGGCAGGCAGCATCACCTGCTACAATTTGGGGACTGGTCCTACTGACTGGATTAGGACCAGGAACACTTGGGTCTTCTCCCACAGCAGCCATTGTGCTCATTCCATGGAAACCAGGTGTACAGTTGCCTGCTTCAAGCTTGGGAAAGGGGGGTTAGACTAAGAAAGCAAACTTTCCCCTTTGGCTAATAGGGGGTCGTACCAAACTAGGAATGCCTGAAACCCCAAAACTGTCTTTGATCCAAATGATTTGAGGCAGTATATCAAATAAGACTTGGAACTCCACAGTTTACATACTGATAGACATCACTCAGATGAGCACATATCAAGGCTTCCCAGAAGCAGCTGTCTCAGTCCATGGAAGACTAACAGTCTGTGCCTCACACCAGAGTGCCTTCCAAACTCCACCTTCCTTTCCTGTCTTGAAAAACTGCAAGCAGAGGTTGGAGAGGGGAGACAATCAATGCTCTGGGCATTTTGAACAAGAGCAAAACAGGAAGATCAGCCCAATATGCTTGTTGGAAAGGACATCAAGTGACACAATCAGAATTTGCCACATGATTCTGCCCCCGCCCCCCCAAGTCTGTTCTCACTTCCATCATGTGGTTGGGATACTGTGTCCTTCTAAGACACCACTTCTCCTCCCATTGTCTGCTACTTCTTCCAGCTTCTAACTGCATGGAACTCAGTGTTCTTCCACCAGACAGAACAAGTCAGCAGGATGGAGTTTAGTCTTTCTACAGGGAAATGACCCCACTGCAACAAAGAACAGCCGGTGCACTCATTCCACATGTCCGTAGGTTGAATCTGGAGTCTATTTACAATGGAACAATCTTAAAAAATAAGTTAAAAAACTGGATTTTATACCCGTTCGGATCATTATTAAAATCAAAAGCCTGGAATAATGAAAAAGCCAACACACCAACACAAACTTGATTTTGGTTTAACACCAGCTTAAAAAAAACAAAAAGCCTCTCATGCAAACACATCAGGTGACATAAAACAATGTGCAATCAATATGTAGCATAATCCATTTGCTTTCTCATAATCAGATCAGCTGCTGTGTTCACCTGGGGCTCTAGGCCTCTGCTTGCTCCAGTCACAGCACCAGTCCTCTGTTCTTCCCAAATGCGGCCTTCTCCACAGCCTTGGCTTTGGAAAGCATGGAATACACACCTGGTACCGTTAAAGTTTGCTCCTTCCCCCCATGGTTTCCATGCCCAATGGCTGAGACACAGCAGCAGTACAGTTCTTGCATTAACACAGTACCACTTAAACACCCCCTCACATTTGAGTCCAAATATAATATATATATATATATGTGTGTGTGTATATATATATATTATAACTACATATACAGATAAATATATGCATTCTGTTGCCTCTCCTTCGGTCACAGTGCTGGGTGATCACGATGCTCTTCAGAAAGCTGCCCCCATATGCCACATTCCTCAGTATGTCTAACGGGCAGTCACTGTCCAAGTCAGTTGCTTTGGCAGCTCTTTAGGCTACTCCTCAGCTGCCACCTCCCATCTTGCTTCTTGATTTTACTGATCATAATTTAAAAGGAAAAAAAACACACAACTCTCAAATAGGGTCTGTTTCCGTTTCTAAGGAAACAGCAGGAAGGTCCATGCAGGAATGGCAGGGACAGTCACTTGATGAATGAGATTGGTCCATCCCAAGAAAAAAAACAGGACTAGAAAACTGAATTCTCAACAATCTAAAAAAGGGAGAGGAACAGTATTCACACTCCCCTGCTTGGGGGCAGAGGGCTTGGGGGAGGGGTCTCTGATCTTCTCAGAAGGAAGTGGACTGGAGGGGTGGAACTTCACAGTTTCTCAGGGGATGGGACCCAAATATAATGCCCAGATTGGTCCTCTATTATCTGTTTGATTTTGCTGTAAATCTCCTCCAGAGAGTCTCCTTGTACAATGGCTGAAAGAAGCAAAATAATAATAAAAATAATAATTCTGTCCTAGGTTGGAACAGAGAGCAAACTACACACTCAGTTCTAGGCAGCAAACAGTTAGCCCCTGCCCTCCCCAACTAAAATACCAATTTCATTGTGACACCAAGTAATAAGGCACTTCAAATTAAGTATAGCTTTCTTGCACCTTGGCCTTAAGATGGTACACAAATGTGAGCTTTCTTTATCACCATTTGCTCAGCTTTCGAGACCGTTCAGACAGACAGCCTATTTTAGAATCCAAATGAATTCAGCCTTGTGTTACTTTTCCACCCCAGGGAAGCCTCCTTATCATCCCATGTTTCTCCCCACTTTGAAATGTAGGATGTTCAACTCCTCAGGCCTCTTTAGCCACCACTAGCTCCTTCCACAGTGAGCACCTCAGCCTCTGGCCAAACTCTTCAGAGCTTGTGCACAGGTAATTCTGCCTCACTCATCCCATAATTTAACATTCTACATGCACATGGTAGCACGAGAGTCAGCCTTCCCCACCCTTTCAAGGCATCCTTAGTCCTTCAGCATCACCAAATCCTTGCACATTTCCTCCTTTTTAAGCCCTCTCTTCAGCAAGAGAGTCTCCTTTAACCCCTTTCAAACCCCACAGTAAGGTGCAGGCAAGCGAAAGTCACTAATACCGGTCACTTCTCACCTGTAAAATACTCTCCGAACTCCTGTTCCAATTTCATGGCTTTGTCAAAGACCTTGTTGGCTTGCTCATACGTCTGCCTCCGGTTCATCTCCCTGCCAGCAGAGAAAAACCTCAGTACAAATATACCCTATCTGACACAGGCCCAAGCACATTTGAGGATACAATCTATGAGGTGAAACTGGAGGACACCTATAGCTTCATGAGCAACTCCCGTGCAGGCAGCTCAGTAACAATGGCACAAGAAGCCTGTGCTCTGCACTCATCCCCCTCTACTCAAATCCCAAAACAGAAGAAGAAATTGGATTTATAGCCCACCCTTCACTTGGAGTCTCAGAGCAGCTTACAATCTCCTTTCCCTTTCCTTCCCCACAACAGACACCTTGTGAAGTACGTGGGGCTGAGAGAGCTCTATCAACGACTGCTCTTGAAAACAGCTCTGAGAGAACTTGTGACTGACCCAAGGTCACACCAGCAGCTGCATGTGGAGGACTGGGGAATCAAACCCAGTTCTCCCAAATTAGAGTCCGCACTGTTAACCACTACATCAAATTGGAGCTCAGAACCAAGGAATGCGCCACCAGTTCACGTTCTGACTTGCTTAACAACAGTTGTCCAACAGCCACATCACCAACACCAGCTGACGTGATCAGGCTGTTTGGAGATGGGGATCTTGACTTCCTCCAACCTCCCAGCAGAGTATCTCATGAACACTAGCCTACTAGAAAGCTGTGCTTTCTAGAGCATACCACAAAATGAGACACTAATCTATAATAGATTTCCTGCTGTCATGCAACAGCCCCCATCCCTGAAAATGGAGACGACAGCCCAGAATGCAGGCACTCCCCTTTTCATAACTCCCCAAGGTAATCTGTTCTTATTTCCTTGACTCCACCCCTTTCACCCAGGCAGCAGTTTCCAGGGTAACCAGATTTGTGGCCTCTGGGTTACTCACATAAGCGCTTCAATGGATTTTGGCTTGATGAAAATGGCAATTGAGTACAGTTGTGCTTGCTGCAACCGCTTAATAGCATTGCCGGACACATCAAGAATGCAGTGTTTCCCCTAGGGTGAAATAAGATACCTTTTATCAGTGAACCCTTGCATAGTACTTGCAACATATAGAATACTTTATTATTTATATCCCCAACAATCCCAGGAGCAACATCACAACGATTTCCATTCTGCAAGAGAGAACAGTGTCAGACTCCCCCCTCACATCGATAGTACGCAAAGATATAACACAAGCCTTTTAAGATCAAAGACCAGAACATATCTGCCCAAACCTCCTAAAGCTGAAGAACTCTCTCATATGCCTGAAGCTGCTTGACTATTTCTAAACCATGGAGCAGAAGCTTCAGAGCCTTTGACAGTGTCCCAAGTATCAATTATGGCATGTAGCACCTAACCAACTGGTGTGCCAGTAGTGTCCCTTCCTGGAAAAGCAGGATCTGGCCATGGTTGGTCAAGAACTAATCACATCCAGGCAAACTGGATTACTGCAATGTACTCTACAGACTACCCAGAAACGTTAACAGTTCAGAATGCAGCAGCTAGACTGCTGGTTGGTAGTTTTCAGAAGCACCTATCTCACTGCTTCTGAAAGAGCTCATGGGTTGCTAGTTTAAGAATGCAATTCAGTCTTAGTTCTCACCTTTAAAGCCAACATCAAATAGTCTGGGACCAGTGTTCCCTCTAAGCTGAGTTATTGTGAGCTAGCTCACAGGTTTTTAGCCTCCGGCTCACACATTTCTGTCTTAGCTCAGGAAGGATGGCTCCAGAGCAAACTAATATATGCAGCAGCCAAATCGCTTGCTCACAACTTTAATGCCAGTAGCTCACAAACTAGAATTTTTGCTCACAAGACTCCACAGCTTAGAGGGAACATTGTCTGGGACATGTATATTTTAAGGACTGCCTGCTTCTATATGATCTGGAGTGGTAGTTAAGATCCCTACCTTCAAAACCAAGGTAAATGGCTACCAAAAACAGGGCCCTTTCTGTGAAGCTGTCTCAGTGGTAGAATCCGCCCGCCCCCGGATCTATTTGTTCTGCTGAGTTTTTATGTGCCATGGAAAGATTTTTATTTTTCTAGGCTTTTAATGGTTTAATTATAGTTTCTGCTGCCTAATTTGTTTTTAAATCTCACTGCCACAAATTTTTGTTTTAATACTTGCTGCTTTTCTATTTTTCTATATAGTTTCTATATAGTTTTAATACTATGCTGGTTTACAAAACTAGTTTGAGATCTGCAAGTTGCTGAAAGAACCATTTGATTATGAGATCAGTATACAAATATTTTGTATAAATCGTCCCTTTCAATCTTTAACAGTCTTGCATTACAGTTCTGAATGCCGTCTGGTGCCCCAAGCTCATAAGAACTGGTTGTATGAACTGCCAGCTCTGGTAAGTACCACAGGAAACCTAGGACATGAGCAGAAAGGACTATGGCAACAGTCCCAAGCAGGCTGCACCCATGGCTGCCACGTGGAGGTTACAACTAGGACACCTGATGCACTTACTCACCCTCTCTGCTACTGCCCGCACAGACTGAATACTTGTCCCATAGAGATTGTCATTGAACTGCCCCGCCTCAATAAACTTGCTGTCTTGAATGTCCTTCTCCATCTGCTCCCGGGATGCCACAAAGTGGTAATCCTGACCATCCACTTCATTCTCACGTCGGGGCCTGGTAGTGTCTGGAAAGGAATTCAACAGCCCAGCAATTCATCAGCCCTTTCTGCTGGTCATAGTTCTCTTCTTCATCCACCCCACTTATGGCTCAAAAGCCTCTTAATTCTTCCACCAATTAGTAGGTATGACTGACCTTGGCTGTATAACCTGGTATTTAGAATAAACTGCAGAAATCCAGGGACCACCTAATCAATTGTCAGCTGTTACACCCTCCTCATCCAGTCTTCAATGTTACCTTGTACATCATTTAAAAAGTTGGAAGGCCAGCACTTACGTGGCACACAGGAGCCAAATTTGTGAGGGAACTCTGAGATAAGGTCATCGTTGACTCGATCCTTCATGGGTCCCAGAATGATCACGGGCCTTGCGTAGTGAACTGCAAAGACAGACACAAGACTCATAAGAGCACCCTGGTTTGCATCCACTTCTCCACATCTGCAAGGCAGAACCATACATCCATGCAGGGAGAAGCAGAGGTATTCCAAAGTTGAAATGGAGAGCTAACCCACTGCAGCACAGCAAAACCTTCACTTCCCAACTTACTTTCTTGCCGGGTCACAGGTTCATACGACAGAATTGTGTCTTCTTGTCCTTCTGAAAGAGTTGGGAGGTAAAGAGGGTCAAGCACACGAAGCCGTTATCCCTGCGGCACCACTTCCCCCGGTGCCATAACAATAGAGAAGAATTCCCCAACAGGCGCTTCCCTAGGCACCCATCACATGTTTCAGGACAGTAAGTGGGGCCATTGTGAAGGCAGGACCACTGACTAGCTGCCTTCATACTAATGCTCACTGGGGAAAGAGCCAGGGTCCTGGACCAGGTCAGCTGTGCAGGAAAGGGAGCAGCAGAGCACCCCTTTCCCTCCTTGTACTTCTTTTATCTGTGTGTTTTATCCTCCCTTTCCCCCACTGGTCATTGTCTTCTGTGTGCCTGTTATCCCTGCTTGGGCTTCTTCTGTGTGCGTTTATATTTTCCATCCCAATTCCTCCAGTGTATGTGTGCTTGGCTCTGGAGGCAGCCATTTTGTGCTTGACTCCACCTCCTGTGACAGCTATTTCATAGTGATGCCCATGACTGTGTCTCAACATTCCAAAGGTGCCTGCAGGCTCAAAAATGTCGGGGAGGGGGAGCCCCTGCAGCAGAGCTCCAACATATATAACGCTGATCAGGCTCCCAGCATCTCAGCCCAGCCAACAGCAGCCACGCTTCTGTAACAATCAATAGGAAGTGGCCATTCCCCTCACAGTGTACATTTCAGCTTGCCCAAACTTAAGGAGGGGGCAACCCCTTAGTGAGAAGCCAGCTTCCTAGGGATACTGCTCTCTCAGACACTGACGGCACCGTAGGCACTCATCCCAAGCCAGCAGAAAAGGGGCAAGAAGGCTCAAGCGTGCCCTATGTCAAGGGGGAATAGGGTATTTTTCCACATCCAGTCTAAGCTTCCCTAGTTACCAGAATGGATTCACAGCAACAACAGTTTCCTCCAATGTATGTGAGATGGTTGCACAGACAGAAGCCCAAGGTGACCTGCTTAGCTTTCTGACTGTAACACTACTTGAGAATGCAGGGACTATTGGGAACTTCACTCCTTGGTGAAACTGAGCTGTCTTAGTCAATTCCTCATAGCTGAGGATTTAAGCTATGTTCCACCATGAACAGAGGAGAGGAACTTTCACTCCACGGCTGAGACCCATGGGACAGAATCCACTGGGACCCTGAATAACTAGTCTAAAGCAAAATCTGGCCTCCAAACAGACACCTCTGGGAGTAGGGGCAAGCAAAGGATCCCAGCTATTTGAATACAATGGCTGGGACAAGGGGGAAGGACACTTACTGGAACTGCTTTCACTGTCACTGGTGTTTGACGTCACTCCCTCTGCAACCAAGAAAGAGACTGCAATTCAGTACACAGAGATGAAAAAGGAGAGTAAAGACACCAAATGCTGATGACCACAAGAACCATGGGGGAGAGAAAACCCACACAAAGGCAAGCTGGACAGACAGCTTATACATCCACTAAGCCCCCACAGCACAGTAGATAGGGTTTCCTCAAGGACTGCACCAAGCAACTCAGATAAGAGCTAGTGCTTATTCCCCCTCCATGCTTAGAGACATTAACAGAATGTAATCCTGGCCATATGCACAGATAACCCTGTTTGTTTTCCATAGCTGGTGCTGAGCTCTTGTCTGAGCAACACATATTTCCCTCCCTCAGTAGCTCATGTCCAAGATGTACATAACCAGAAGAGCCCAGGCACAAGCAGGGTTGAAGCACAGACAATACACACCCTGTTCCTAGACTGGCTTCATTTGTCAGGCCCTAAGGTACCATCCTGCCACTGGGAACTACAGAGTAGGGAGGAGGAAAAAGAGGAAAGGGAGGGAGGAGCTGGCAGAACATGCAGGCGAAGTCAAGACAGAGACTACAGGGCTGCCTAAGGTACCATAGCTTGGGGTATTCCCAGCTCTACAGTATGGGAGAAGAGGGATGCAGAGATAATGTCAACAGGAAAATGCATTGCCCAATTAGGACCTCCTCCTTCCCTAACTTCCTGCAACTGGACCCCAATCTAAAAGTAATGCCAGAGATCTAAGCCTTTCTGTCACATGCTCCCATTACACTTGGGTGACAATCTCTCTAGTGGTGATGGATTCACAAAGCCTACAGCAATGCGAAGTAGCTACCGGGGCTGGGTTCCCTCACCCTGCATCAGGCAGCCTAACCCTATGGAGGTCAAAGTAGCCATGGTATAGCTGGGCTCAGACAACATGTGGTTGCTTCAAGCACACCACTAGCTTCCCAGTCGCACACATGCTATCAATGGAAAGTGTACATGTGCAGTGAAATTCCACTTACTCAGGTTCTTTGCGCCATAATAATCGTCACTTAACCCAGGGAAGTCCTGATTCACAGCCAGCCAGAAGGGGGAAGGGAGAAAGGAGAGAAAAGAGAGAGAGGAAGGAGTAGAGAGGAGAGACAGAGCCAGGAGAGCATTAGTGACAGGAGTGCAGAATGGCTGAGAGCTGCAATAGCAAGTGAAGTTAAAGCTCCCGGCCAACCCTTCTAAAGTCCTCTATGTCCCAAACCCTCTGCATAAGACATCTGCACCATCTCTTGGTGGCTGCTCTGCTCAGAGTCCCAAGTTCACCCTTCTCCCAAAGCCCAACAGCCTGACATTCCTTAGTTCCCAAGACATGCCAGGCCCCCCAGACCATCTGCGGGACAATCTGAGGCCTGCCTACTGTTCAAATGATCTAAGCGCCTGGCTCAGGCAAATACCTGTTTCAGCACAGTCCTAAAAATGGCCAACTACAAGAGCTTCCATTGCCTGAAGCAAGGACCAGAATGCCCATACTAAATGCCAGCAAACCAAGTCCCTTGTTCTCCTGAAACCAAATCACCTGACTAGTTTGCAGTGAGCACATCTCTACTGAAGGCATAAAACAAGAAAAGGACTAAATTCCAGAGATCAGCCATATGCTCCACAGAATGCAAGTGGGGAGGGCCCTGGACTATGACTGCAAGAGCCCTTTTGAAGACTTGTGAGAGGAAAGCAATGGCAAACCATCTCTGCTTATCTCTTGCCTTGAAGTGGAACTTCATGGGGTTGTCATGAGTCGGTTGCGACTCGACAGCACTCTTTGCTTTTAAGACATCCCACCTTGTAACGCAATGGCAAGCAAGTCTCGTACATGGGTTGCTGTTTCTGTGACTCCCCTTTGCACCTGGACCCTTGGATGCTTTTGCTGCATGCAGCCAATGATGGCATTTAGGAGTCACACCTGCTGCAGAATCTTGTCGTCGTCTTAGCAGCACAAAGATAGAGTGCTGTAACCAACATGAATTATGCATGTGTGCAGATACTTGCCTATTTTGCCAGTTTAGTCTGAATCTGCTAATCATGGAGCAAGGCAAAGAGCTAGGTGTGGCACTGAAGGGAACTGTTCTGATCCCAGTGGTCGGCTCTCCCAAAAACTGAACTGGGAGAAACCTGGTTAAGTGCAGCCTTACACAGGCTTTGGCCTATGGCAGCATAGAAAGGAGAATGTTTGGCAAATACCAGGACATCAGGAAAAGGTGGAAGTCTACAAAGTCTAGGACAGGAATCACAAGAGTGGTCTGGAAGTGTAACTAGTACAGATGAGGCGAGGAGAGCAAGCAGTACCAGAAATGGTCAGAAGTGGCCACAAGGCTCACCACAGTGCGTACTTCCAATCTAGCCTAAATTTTGGCAGCAGGGGACAGAGCGCCTGTTACACCCTCTCAGCACAGCCAGGCTGAAGGCAATGCTCACTCCAAGGGGCTGTTCGGTGCCTTGGGAGAGGCACAGAAGAAAGGGCCTGAGGATCTTGGGGAAGGCACAGGCCTCACTGGACTGCAGGAGTCAGCAAAGCCTAGCTGGATGTGCTGGAATTGCCCTTCTTGGAAGCGGTGTGTCACTCATCACCTTACGGCAGCCACAGGAGCCTCCCAAGCTGGCATTCGAGCAGGGCAGCCACTACTTACGTTCCTGTCCGCTGCTCTCCTGGGCCATGTTCTCTTTGCTCTTGTAAAATGGGAACTTTCGAGAGAGGCGGAAACTCTTTTTACGTTTCGTTTTGATCGACTGTGAAAAAGATGGAAGATGGAAGGAGGGGCAGAAAAATAAAAACAAACAAAAACAAAAGAACAAAACAATGGAGTTTAAAGCATGCAAGAAAAATTAAAATGAAAAGACAATGATGATCACTGTCAGGGAAGCTACCCCTCAAATGAAATCATGGAAATTACATGTGAACGGGATGCAAGAGGAAAATTAAGCACAGAGAAAAATGGGTTTTAGGGATGGTGGAAGATGACTAACCAATCCACATGGGCCACAGTAACAAAGATGTGTTTTTAATGGCCTCCCCCCCCCCATGCTGTCAGTAATTGTACCTCACACTCTGCCATTTTGCTGGCTTCCCTGCCACCCAACCTCAGCTGTTCCCAGTATCAGCCACTACTACTGTACCCTGGGCTACTTGGAAGGAAATGCTGCAAACAGGCTGCTGCAAGGCCAATGGGAAGGGCAGCAAGAAAGCAAAGCTGCAGGTGCTGTTGCTTTCCCAAGGACAAACCAACTGGAGGTATCATCTGGAAGGGTTTCTAGGCAAAACCCAGCTATAAAGCCTCAGCGCAGATCCTTCCCCTCCCACCTGAAATGGGCTACATGGCATTCCACCCTGGAGGAAATATGCTCACATTGCCTGGCTTGATCTCTTTCACCTCCCCCCTGCTCCTCCCACACTGCCCCCCTTCACTTGACCAGCACTTACCCTGTTGGATTCGATCATCCCGGTCCGGGCATGGAATTTCACTGTTTTCAACCGCGCCCTTTCCTTCTTTTCCACTCTGATCAGAAGGGGAAAAAAAGATTATATTGTCCAAGTGTGGATCCCATCTCACGTGGATCTTTGGCTCATCCCCAAATCTCCCCACCCACAGTTCATTAAAGCAACAGCTGGCTCTTCCTCCCAGTTCTCCGATTCTATATTAAATAGGGCACAGCCACAAGACATCTCCTTTGATGGGCAGAATTCCCTCTGTCCTATAGCACACGAAGAAAAGCTCATCTTGCTTCAGAAAAAAATCAGCAAAAAAGCAGAATCCAAACCTTCCCCTCCACTCCCTTATTAGCTCCTCTCAGCAGACCATTTCAGCCTCACCTGAAGGAGATATCTGGTCAGAGTGGGCATGGCTAGGGAAAAGTATTGGCAAGGGGCTGGACTGGAGAACAAGCAACTCACCTCTTCTTGCTGGGGATGACCCCAATCTGCTCACTCTCTCCATGAGGTGTTACTAGCCTTGCCTGCCACCATTCATCATCTGAGGCATTGATAACATGTAAGATGTCCCCATAAGAAAAACTGAGTCCTTGACTGGGCAAGCAGCTGTCCCGAGTTCGGTCATAGTCGAACAGGGCCCTGAACAGGAACAAAGAACATGAGATAAGACTTCCATTCAACTCAACCGTTTGTTTTTGATACCTTCTCAACCATCCAGTAACTGGATGCCATCAGACACATGAAAGGATAGTTATACCTTCTGACTGTTCGAGATCTTTCATTCAATGCTAGAACATCTGGCTGTAGCAGAACAACAGGCAGCAATAGGTCAACTCCTCCTATTTGGATGGCAGCAAATTGGATTTATATTCTGGGAAGGAGCTGCTGGTCAGTTCTGATCCTACTTTCGGGATTCTGCTATGACAGGGGTCTCCAACCTTTTTAGGGCCTGCAGGCACCTCTGGAATTCTGACACAGCATGGTGGGCACGGCCATACAATGGCTATCATAAAATGGCTGCCGCAGTAGACAGAGCCAGCCACAAAATGCCTGCTTCAGCTTCCCTTCAGTCACACAGTGAAGGTCCTTGTGCTGTGGTGGAAGCCACTGCCAAAACAACATCTTAAAAAATCGGCACAGCCAATCAAATCTCCAGTAGCCAACTGGAAGCCTTGCTGGGCAAAAGCCCTACCTGGCTCCACCCCCTTTCTAAAAACGCTTGGAAGGTGCCAGGAAAAGTATCAGCCGGTGCCATGGCTCCCATAGGCACCACACTGGGGAGCCCTACACTATGGCTTCTCAGTATTAAGAGCTTTATGAAAACAGCCTGAGAGACTAGAATATCCAGCAGCTAGGGAGCCCTGAGCTGGACAGCCCAGGCTAGCCCAATCTTGAAAGATCTCAAAAGCTAAGCAGGGTCAGCCCTGGCTAGTATTTGCATGGGAGACTGCCAAGAAATACCAGAGTCGCGATGCAGAGGCAAGCAATGGCAAACTACCTCTGACCGTCTCTTGCCTTGAAAACCCTGCGGGGTCGCCATAAATCTGCTGTGACTTGACAGCACTTTCCACCACTGGGAGCAAAAGCACTCCCCTAGATAGAAGGAATCTCTCTGCTCTAGTAAGAACTTCCCAGCCCACTGGTTCCCCCATCTCATTCCAGTACAGAAATGTGGAAATCTCCCAAAACCACTACATTGCCTCCCATCCAAGGAAGTGTGTGGCTGAATCTCATAATCAAGCCAACCAGGGCCAGGGCCTTCTCGGTGGCGGATCCCGGAAGAGATCAGGGCCCTGTGGGACCTTTTACAGTTCTGCAGGGCCTGTAAGACAGAGCTCTTCTACCAGGCGCTCGACCAGGAGTTGCACCATACACCGAGGAGTGTCCCTGTGCCCTGGCTTTGACATCTTTGCTTCCAGCCTGTGCCTTGGGCCTTACCATCATGTCCTCAGCCATGCCTGCCATATAACAATGAGAACTGAGCTGATGTGTAAGAATAGCCATCCAACAATCACCCGAGTTATACCACAAAGAACTGCTGCTCTTATTACTTGATATGTTCCAGCGTTTTTCTATGTTTTAAATTATTGTTAATTTTAAGTTATTTATATGCTGATGTTTTTAACTGTATTTATGCTTTATAAATGTTATAAGCTGCCCTGAGTCCACCCTGGCGGGGAGGGCGGGATATAAATCAAATTAACAACAACAACAACAACAACAATAATAATAATAATAACAATAATAATAATAATAATAATAATAACTTTACTAAGAGGAAGACAATTTCCCTCTATGTTCTAGTGAGTTGTGAGGCGATGGCATTAGAGCTGTGCGTCTCAAAATCTGTGATTAATATATGTTTTGTAAAGTAGCAAAGGTCAATATAACCAACAAATATTTAAAAAGATTAACTCCGGTGCTTAACTGGGTTTGCACCTTGCTAAACCTGTCATCCTAGAGTTGAATGTCCTGCCACTCTTGTATTAAGCCACATCACTCATAGTATCCTCAGTCCAATTACATCCTTCATCCTCAAATCTGTTCTGGGTTCAAGAATTCCACTGACTGCCACAAGATGGGGCACCTTCAGCCGTATTCTCTGAACACTGGCCCCCACAGCGAGCTATCTAATGACAAGGAAATCCCAAGTACTGATGTCAAAGCTTAGAAATCATTAACTGTTCTGGCCAAGTCGTCCAGGACAAGACCACTACCAATGTCATAATGTGCACTGTGGGATTACCTCACAACTCAGTACTGTTCCGTAACAAGCCTTGTAATTACCATTACCTGCAGTACAACAGGCCATTCCATCAGTTTCAGTTAAATTGTACTCGAAACTACCCCACCCAGTAGGGCTGGGCCTCCTATTCCAAGTGCAAAAGGGTTTTCAAAGTGCCATCTCAACCACAGGATCAAGTTACACAAGATCAGTTAACACTCAGCAAGGAAAAAGCCTTTACTGCACAGGCAACCTGTCGAGAAAGTTAGACAAGGCATCTACATATGTGGGGAAGCTTCCAAAAAACATTTACCAATAGCTGTAAGCAGTACTAGCCTACTTAAATTACTGGCCAACACCACCCAGCCATAAAACTCACCAGTGCTTTTAAACACTACTGCAAAAGGGTTAGAATACCTAAGCCTGACATCTCAACAAACTTATAAAAAGGCAAGATTTTCAATCACCAAGCCTGTACCAAATGATGTCAAAATGTCTTTCTGGAGCAATGGATTTACTGGTCTCAAAGTTGTTCTCTGGGCACATACCTATCACCTTGCAAGCTTACCTGAATATGGTAGAGACAAGGAAGAGAAGCGATAAAAGGAAAAGTGCTGTAGTTTCAGGCTCATCTTACACCTAACTCTGTTCATAGATCCAGGTGGTAAGCCATGTTGGTTTGAAGCAGTAGACTCTAAATTTGTTCTAACTCTGTTCAGTTAGCAAGCTCAAGGCACTAATCTTACTAAGAGCTCATCCCTCTTCCAGAGCGAAGCAGCAGCTAACGCTTCACAGAAGACTGTCATGCATAGCAGAACCCCAGCAAAACTAAGGACCACAGCACCTCTTTCATCTACAAGTGCTCTCCTTTCAGAAAAAGGGCCATATCCATCCAATTCAGTTTGGCTTTCACAGGACAGCCACATAGAGATCACACTCTGGAAATTAGGTGTGCTGACACTAAAAAAGCTGCAGGGTCTGTGTTAACTTCAGTCCGCGGAATTCCTATTCAGGAAAGGCTGTAAGCATCTCTTCCCAAAATAACCAAATCACTACTCAGATGCCTCGGGAAGAAGCCACAAGGCACACTGCTATGCAGCAATATGAAGGCCTAAGAAGCACTGATGACCTTTCACAACAAGTAGCACCACAAGACACCGCCTTATTAATGAAAGAAGACACATGAACAAACTGGACAGCTCATCATCGACCAGCGACATACTCAGGAAAACTTTTGAAAGTGCCCTTCTGTGGCCACCCGTAGGAAAAGAAGGACACTTTCCTTACCGGACATAGAGAGACCGCTTTTCACTTGTCCGGAGTGAGCCAGATCCTGAGCTCATGCTGCTGTTCATCATCTGTTCTCTCAGGTCATGGATCTTCGATTCAAAGCGGCTGTACTCTGCAATCAACAAGGAGAATTAGATTGGGGAAGCAGCCTATTTGCCTATTTCTTTTCCACCCAGATAGATGGGTAGCCATGTGAGTCTGTCTGTAACAGCAGAAAAGAGTGAGAGACCAGGAGCACCTTAAAGACTAACAGGATTTGTGGCCGGGTAGGAGCTTTCATGAGTCACTGCTGAAGAAGACTCACGAAAGCTCCTGCCCTGCCACAAAGTTTGTTAGTCTTTAAGGTGCTCCTGGTCTCTCGCTCTTTTCTACTTTTCCACCCAGTTTCTATCCAACTAAATACAACAGATGACATGCATTTTATATACAAGGCAGGAGGAAGCAGCCCATCCCTGACCCATCCATAAACATGCCTCATGGAGACAATTTATCCATTATTTGTTATCAAGGACCAACTGAGAGTTGAACCTAATGGGCAGCATACTGCAGAACCTAGGCTACAACACTGCTAACTCACAAAGTGCATACAATATGAAAAATGTGCTGATAGGGAGCATAACTTAAAAGAAGAATTTCTGCATATTTCACCAGGTATGCAGAAATCTCCCAGGCTGCAGGTTGTATACTGATCTAGTGACTGGCATGCAGCCTTACATCAAAAAGGGAACGGTAGGGCTAACAGGGAATTGTGGGAGGGATAACGCACTTCCCCCTTCCAGGATACTGCAAGTTAGTAGGGGCCTGAGCAGACCAATATATCCCTTCATCAACTCTTAGGAGCGTCAGCCCTGTGGTGTGTGGCCTGGTTTTGCCATTTTGTGGATGGCACAAGCCACCCATTTTGTTTTAGATATAGTAAAATAGCGATGAGACCTATGGAGCAGCAGTGCACAGTTCTAATCATCCCATTTCTTCCCCCCCCTCCAGAAAAAGACAGTCACGCTGGAAAAGGTGCAGAAAGAAGCAACTATAGCGATTAACAGCGGGACACAGGTTATGCCAGTTCAGATCCCCATGCAACTACAAAGACTGCTGGATGAAATTAAGGCAGTCAGGCACGTGCTCAACCTAATCTACTGCACAGGGTTGCTGTGAGGACAAAATCGGGAAAACCACATAGGCCATGACAAGATCCTCCAAGGAAGGATCAGATAAAAAACAATGCCTGCACAGATCAAAGGGCACTTGTTTGGGGCCTTTTCATTTAGGAAAAAGGGAGACATGAGGTGGGATAAAAACCGTTTATAAAATTATACATCAGCTGAGAAATTAATAAGATATGTTTCTTCCTCTCTCATCTTATCCAAACTCAAGGATTGCCCGATAATACTGATTAGCAACATAAGCAGAGCGCACAAGGAGCAGCACTTCTTTACTCACCACACAATTAACTATGAAGTTCACAGTTTTATGAACTATGCCATAAAATGTGGTGCTGGCCACTAGTTTAGGCAGCTTTTTAAAGGGTTAGGTTATTCCTAGAGGGTAGCTCTAACAATGACTATTACCCCAATGGCTAAATGGATCCTTTATATTCAAAAGATGCATGTCTCTGGATACCAACTGCTGGTGGAAATGACAAGAAAGGACTGTCGCTTCAACACCCTGCTTCTGAGCCACTATCAGACATAAAATGGTAAAACAGATCCAATACAGCAGGACTTCCTTTATGTTCTTATTTGTACATCACAAAAGGTATGTTACTAGTAATATAGTATAGAAACAACTTTTTACATAAAATAATTTAATTGCAAAATGCCTTATCATTTTTAATCTGCCCCAAAGGACAGGAGTTAAAGAAGTTCCCACACTGCATGAGGAAACAATGGATTCTAGGGAGCAGGCCTTGAGACTTGCTCATTCAGTTGGAGGCTGGAGCTGCTTCTTCTAGGTGAAACAGCCATGTTATTTCTGTATTTTGTAAAATATCCAGCATCTTACAAGTACTAGCTAACCACTAGGAACACTAGGTGCTGATTGCAGGGGAGCTGCAGTGAAGGACAGAAGAACAGTTATTAGGAGAGGCTTCCTTCAGAACACATTATTTTAACCAGATAAGCAAAAATAGCTGGTACAACCAACATGCCTCAGCAAATGCCCACGCTGTGAGAGCTACAGATGTTCCACAGTTCAGGAGTGTTTGCCTGGTCTGCAGCAGTAAAGTACTTACTATCAGAAGGTCAGTGAGTCCACAACAGAGCAGCATTTTAGACAGGGGATTCACCTACCAGGATGCCACATGCAGAGAATTTCACAGAATTGCATATCTGATCAACACAAATACCTAAGAACCTTAGCTTTTAATAACAACCACTACCACTCTGTAGCCTCCTCAGCTGTAAATATAGGCAGTGTCTGAAAGAAGCAACTATAGCAACTACAGGCAGTATCTACTATAGGTTCTACTCCCTCATTCTTTTTTCCTCATATCCATCCTCCAGCCTCCTAAACATTGCACCCAAATTATACAAAACTGTAAACTCTCTCTTCCTATACGTAATGGTTGAGGAAATTCTTATTCACTGTATCTGAAGAAGTGTGCTTGCGCACGGAAGCTTATCCCTTGAATAAAACTTTGTTCGCCTTAACGGTGCCCCTGCACTCCAGCTTTGTTCTGCTGCTTCAGACCAACACGGCTGCCCACCTGAAGGTAAACGTTTGGGTTAGAAGAGCTATAATCAGATCTGTACCAAAGAAATCCAAATGGTACAAACAACCTGATTATAAAGAACAGCATCTTTTTGAACGGCCCATGACCATTCGGGAGATTGCTGCACTCACAAACAAGCCGAGAGGTTCCCATTTTCTGTTTTCAAAACATCAAGTAGCTTTGAGCCTGCAGGTGGTACACTAGAGCCCTACAGGCCAGAAAAGCCCTAAACAGTCAGAGACCAACATACCTTCAGGACCGCCTTTCCTGGTATAGCCCCCAAAGAGTTTTACGCTGAAGACACAACAACTGGTGATCCCTGGCCTGAAAAGTATCTTGCTGCCCTCAACCAGAATCAGGGCCTTCTCAGTCCTGGCTCCAACCTGGTGGAATGCGCTGTCGAATGAGATCCGGGCCCCGTGGGATCTAGTGCAGTTCCACAGGGCCTGCAAAACAGAGACATTCCACCAGGCTTATGGTTGAGGCAGCGAGAGTCTTCATCCTAAATTGGCTGCTCCCCCTCTCCCCGTTCTGTTTATCTTATTCCCCCATCTGATTAGCGACATGATATTTTACTCGCCCCCCTGGATAGGGGGCACCACGCTGTGCTCTTTTTAGGCGCCATCTGTTAGTGTTAATATTATGGTAAAAATTGTTTTAAATAATTTTATAGATATTGTATTAGAGACACTGTTGTAACCCGCTCTAAGCCCTGTTGTACAGGGGAGGGGAGGGCTATAAATCCAATAAATAAATAAAAAACTTAAACTCGGGAGATGGCACACTCTGTGTACATCACATTCCCCAAGAACTGAAGATGCCACAGTCACCAGCAAAGAAGAGCTCACCACAGGCCCTGGGCCATCTCCAGCCCTTTATTTATTGCCTTGTACAGGATGTTTCTACCACCTGAAACTCCACCCATCTCCTGATGGATGTAAAGCTCCATAAGGGAAGGGATGACATTTTCTGCTTACTAATCTTTTGGATCAAGAACAATAGCTCAGTGAAGCTCATCACAAGAGAGCCCTCCATTTTCACAACTCCACATGTGACAAAAAAGGAGAACAAAAAAAAAAATACAGCCTCTGAAGAATTTATACTCCTAAGTGAGTTCACACTGAGTAAATCTTCCTTGACATTTAATCCCACCAAGATCAACTATACAAATCGGCATACAATTGCTTAGCTTGACCTTCAAGAAAGGGCTATTAGAAAAACTCTAGAGGGTATCACGGCACCCTAAAGACCAACAGCTTTACTGTGGCAGAAACTTTTGACAGCCTATTGGTGTCAACTTTGTCATATACAAAAGAGCAAGAGTCCAGTTGCACCTTAAAGACTAACAAAATATGTGGCAGGCTATTAGCTTTTGTGAGTCACTGCTCACTTCTTCAGATACAATGACTCACGAAAGCTAACAGCCTGCCACATATTTTGTTAGTCTTTTAAGGTGCTACTAGACTCTTGCTCTTTTCTGTTGCTACAGACAGACTAACACGGCTATCCATCTTGATCTGACTCTGTCATATGCATGACATGTTATCCTTGGTAGGCTGATATATTTGTACATAGGTACAAAGGGAAGTGGATTACCTTGTTTAGCACACCAAGAGTTCTATATCTCTATGCACAGTCTAACTTCTTAAAAGTAAAGAAGAGAGTGACCCATTCACAAAAGCAATCACTGTGACAACTGACAACAGCCTATATTTTGTGAAACAGGAAGATTTCTGTCTCTTCTAATAAGAACTAGTTCAACAAGTCGTATTTCTCTCTTCTATGAAAACAATGCAACCACTTAATCATTTTTCAGAAGTTTAGAAACCTTGGCTAAGTTTTATGCATGTAATCATGCAAACATGAGAATATGAATTTCTGGCTGATCTCTTGGACATTCCATAGAATTGTCTCTGCTACTAACTGAAAATGCTTTTGAGCTACAAGTATAAACAACACACCTGGTAAATGAGCATATACAGCCATATCGAAGAATACAATTTTAGCAGATACCTGCTCAGTATACACACTGAAAACTTGAGATGTGAATGTACAACAACAAAACATATATATTGAGTAGGTAATGGTTTGCTGAAGTCATCAATTAGCACAGAAGAATGCAAAAATCTCACCCTGTTAAATACAGTTCAAAATTTCTGGCTCATAATTTACAGGAGGACACAAAGGCTTCACAAAACTCTGCAGAAACCAATTCAAATATTTCCAGAGGACAATACTGACAGCAAAAAACTTGTTTTGGGACGTAATGCTCAGTGTCTTCTAGGCAGCAACCCTAGGGTCTCTACAGGCTGAGAAGGACCAGAATGGACCAACAGAATGGGATTTTTTTTTCATACTGTCATAGAACATGCATTCAAAGGCAAGAAAGCAACGTTTCTCCA